TATGCAAATGTCAAAGGATGGCCATGTTTTCAGTTACTATATTGTTTCAGGAAGTGCAAATTAAGGAGATTCATCTTTAAAGGTGTGGTGAACTGAATTTTACCATCCTTCCCTAATACACACACACACAGAGAGAGAGAGAGAGAGAGAGAGAGAGAGAGAGAGATTGATTATAGCAACTGCATGGGGGTAAACCAAGAGAATGTTGGAAAGTGGCTATTATACCTACAGGTAGATTTAAATATTTGTAGTGAGTGTGACATTCTGAAGTTTTCCTTCTTCCTCTAACTCATGTGCTAATCCTGTCTTTGGCTGTGTAGCTCAATTAATCTCTGTAGCAGGATGAGCAAGGAAGAAGAAAACCTCTCTCTCTCTCTCTCTCTCTCTCTCGTCAGAAGTGAAGTTATTTACTTTTCAAAGCTGATGGAATAGCACTGCAGGGGCCTTCATTTATTTCCGCTCAGAATGTCATTATTCCGTAATGCACAGGGACCTGCACACGCATACAAGGCCTGTTCTCCTAATCTTTATTATTATGCTACATGACTGCTTAAAGAGCAAAGTGGCTCACCGGAAAGGTTTCAATTTTCCATTGGTGGCCTGTGCATTTTGGCCTAGTACTGTTGCCTCATGAAGTCTGCACACACACACACACACACGCCAAGCAGGGCACAAAAGCTTTCTCTCTCCTTCTGCTCTTTGGTTCCCATGCCAGGAACTCCGACGTAGGTTGTCACTGAAACTCTCTGTGCCATTTAATTACCTATTTTATTCATTTAGTCGTGTTACATTTATATTCCACCTTTCCTCTGAGAAGTATGTGGTTTCCCTCCCCCCCCATGTTTTATGCTCACAACAACCCTGTGAGGTAGGTTAGACTCAGAGATGGGAGGCTCAGGAAGCTTTATGGCTGAGTGGGAATTTGAACCCTGGTCTCTCCCCTCCCCCCTCCCAGTCCAGCATTCAAACTAATACACCCCACTGACACTTTGAGGTTGCCATGGCAATAAGGTGAGAGGAACCGCAAAATACCAAATGGCTATCTAAGACACCCAGATGTCAGCAACCTCAGGCAAAGTTGCACTGGTTGCTTACACAATCCTAGCAGGCAGTACTATCACAACAGCAACCCAAGCTATTTTGCCTTCCTGCCTTTTAACCTTTGTTAAGTGCTACTCTGTTTCATACTCACGCAGAGACAACTTTCCACCAAGTGGTGCTGCTCACTGCTGCTACTGCTACTGGATCCCATCACCAAAGAAAGGAAGCAAAGTGGGGGGGGGGGCAGGGAAGACAGGTGGTCTCAGAGTTGGGATATCAACACACAACCATTTTCTGGAGAAAAGGCAGGAACTTAATTTGAGAACTTAATTTGCTTCAGGAAATGATTGTCTTAGACACATTTTCACATGTAAACAGCTTGTGGCTTAGTTGCTCCCATCCTGACTGCTCACGGAGAGGTGCTAGCAAAGGAATATTAGCAAAGAGCGCAGCTCTCACAAGGTAGGGAAAGGACGCCCTGTTTACTGTACTGCATTCACTGCACCCATGAGAGATCATTCTTGAGCACCATGATTGTGGAATGCACTTCTCAGGTTTGACTTTCAGTGACCCTGATGGGTTTTCAGCACCACTTAAAAAAGCATATTTGTCTATGCCTTTGGCTAACTTTCTTGTTTTTTTAATGTTATGTTATAGATTGAGGCAGGTGGTGCTGTGGTCTAAACCACTGAGCCTAGGGCTTGCCGATCAGAAGGTCGGCGGTTCGAATCCCCGCGATGGGGTGAGCTCCCGTTGCTCGGTCCCTGCTCCTGCCAACCTAGCAGTTCAAAAGCACGTCAAAGTGCAAGTAGATAAATAGGTACTGCTCCGGCGGGGAGGTAAACGGCGTTTCCATGCACTGCTCAGGTTTCAGTGTTCCGTTGTACCAGAAGTGGCTTAGTCATGCTGGCCACATGACCCAGAAAAACTGTCTGTGGACAAACATCGGCTCCCTCGGCCAGAAAAGCGAGATGAGCGCCGCAACCCCAGAGTCGTTTGTGACTGGACTTAACTATCAGGGGTCCTTTACCTTTACCTAATAGATTTACAGATAGATAGATAGATAGATAGATAGATAGATAGATAGATATTGGTTTCATTATGAATTGCGTATTCATATTAATATTTTTTTAACCTTCTCTGGGATTGAATTTAATGAAGAGTGAGTTAGAAGTGACTCAATAAATAAATAAGGTAAAATCTGGTTGTGGGTGGGGCGAATCGCAAAGGGCCATGTTTAAGAAGTTTAAGAAGGAAGTGCTCAAAAAGGCAGCTCTTAAAGTTTTTGGACTGTGAATGAGTCAAGGAACAGAAAACCCCTGATAAGGTGAGGTGGGAGAGAAAGATTGTTTTCTTCCTATTCACAAATTGCTCAAAGGTGCTCACCAGGAATAAAATTATGCACCACCTGATGCTAACTGCTGTTTCATGATGATGTCAGCCTAGAATGTGCTGATTTCTTTTTCTGGTTACATAAGGTGGTGGGGAGAGGGAGTGAGAGAGAAGTGTAGGGATGGACGAATCAATCTGTTTCCAGACTGTGTCACTTTTGCATGCATTCACCCATAAATCTGTTCCAGCCAGTTTCCTACATTAATCTGCAATATCAAGCAAAACTTCAATTGAATATTTGCATTTGAATGCATATTTCAAACACCTTACTTCTGAAAGTGTGTGAATTTCTAGATATCTTGTCTCAGAATACGTGTTTTTAAATTTTGCTGATACTTTTGAGTTTTGTTCTTGTTTAAGCAGAGAACTGCACTGGAACACTCTGAGCAAGCAGAGAACTTGAAATCTCAGTCCACATTTTCTTCCTCTTTCTAGATTGCTATCCCACCCTTCTTTACAGAGGAGCTCATGGTGGCAAACAAGAAGACAATGCAGTATGAAACTAAACATTTAAGAACAAACATTTGAACACAATCAAATATTCTTGCAGCTAAATAATCTCAAGTTTGCCAAGACTCTGGGCCCAAAACTCTGCCACATGGACTCACTCTGAAAGCCTCACTCAGGGCCAAAGGTCACAGTGGGGTAATGACTTTGTTTGTTTGTTTGTTTGTTTGTTTGTTTGTTTAGATCCCAACTCTCCCCCCCCCCGCCATGGGACTCAAGGCAGTTTATGGATAAAAATTAGAAGCACTAAAAACATGTGGGGGTGGAATACTTAAAAACAAGTAGTTTTAATATAGCTTTAATTCTATCAATTGTATGCATATTTTAAAACTAATAATAATAATAATAATAATACCAGCATGGCACCAGCCCTTTCATTAAAAGCAGTCAGTTCCCAAAAAGCCTGCTGGAACCCAAATGGCAGAAGGACAAGGAGGGAGTCAGTTCTAGCTTCTCAACATATCACTAGGTCCTTGGATTTGGGAGACTTGGTGCATCTTTCAATGGAAACCAATTGTTAATGACCCAAAATAAATAAATTAAGCATGTGCCATAAATGGGAAAGAGGGGTTTTTGATCCAGTTCCTATTTAAAGGCAAACCTACCTAATTCACACTTACAAAAACAAAATGCAAACCGAAACACATACATCCCTAGGAAGTCTCATTTCTCTGAATTTTGCAATTCAGTTCTCCAGCCAAACAATGTGTACTAAAATGCATTTCATATTGGGGCAAATTTGTTTTGCAAAATTGTGCCTATCCATTGGTGGCTGCCTATCCAGAGAGTCTATGGTGCTGAATGTGGTTTTAACCATAGGCATTCTGTGATAAGAGCAACCAGATGCATTCATTCATTTTGTTAAACACACTTTTCTTTTTAAGGGTGATGCTATGGTTGGTTTACTAACAGACTTGATTCAAAAGCAACTCCAGGACAGGCGAGTGTCATGTGAAAGAAGCATATGGCAGACAGAAGACGGCCTTTAGCAATACGTACACAGAGGAGAGTCAGGGTGCTCAGGCAATGATCTTCATCACATATAATCCAATTGCCCTGATTTTCCCAATGCCTACCCTTATGAATCACCATCCTTATTTTGTATTTACTTGAGGGGGGTCCTTCAAGGGGGCAGCTTTTAATACATTGTTCTTTAGAGTTCAGCTCCCTCCTCCAGGCATCTGTGCATCAAAAGTCCAAGTGGAGGACGGGTGCACTTCGAATCTAGTGTGCAACTGTAAATAGCATGAAGGACTAGCATGTGGATTCCCTTCCACTGATTCCATTCACCCTGCCATACAGCAAGGCAAAGCTTACTGCTGCAGGGTGCAACATGCAGAATAGCCACTCATGCATCACCGAAAAGAGGAAAGCATTGCTGGGGGGGGGGGGAGGACAAAAGAAGGCACCAGTTTGCATGAAATTTACATATACTAATTAATGCATATATGTGCAAATTTAAGACGGATGACTATAATTTTAATAGAATGCCTCTCACCACAGTGGGGATGACTGTGACATGCTAAGCTATTGGACAGCAGACTGAGCAGGCAAAGAGCTACCTGTTGATGGGAAACTTAGCCTTTGCCCTTCTTATGGTTGATTAAACCAGACTTGGAGCAGCAAACAATGCTACGAAAGGAAGACCAACAAGAACATATGAAACTGCCTCATATTGAATCAATCTCTTAGTTCAGGGGGTGGCCAGCTTGGTGCTCATAAGTACAGTGGACGCTCGGGTTGCGAACATGATCCGTGCAGGAAGCACGTTCGCAACCCGCAGCGTCCGCAACCTGCAGTGCTGCATCTGCACATGCGCTGGTTGCAATTCGGCACTTCTGCGCATGCACAAGTGCCGAAACCTGGAAGTAACCCATTCTGGTACTTTCAGGTTTGGCTCAGGGCGCAACCAAAATCACACAATCCGAAGCGTCTGTAACCCGAGGTATGACTGTACTCCAGAAAGGATGATAACCCTTGCCTTAGTTCATCTAACTCACTATACACTGCCCGGCAGCAGCTCTCCAAGATTTCAGATGGGGGACATTCCTAGCCCTACCTGCAGACCCCAGGGATTGAACCTGGGACCCTCTGCATGCAAAGCAAATGCTTCACCACAAAACCATAGCCCTCCTTAACATATAGGTTTGTCACCCAAGCACCATGGAGTGAGCGGGCAGGTATATAATGATAGGAACTGGTGTCTGAATAGCCCAGCAAGGCTCTTCAAAGTATTGAGCTTAGTAGAAGGTGCAGAGGGGGGCAGCTCATTTTCACTTACAGATCAAAGTGTATTGGGCTGCTGCCACCAATGGCTGTTTGCTCTTAACTTCTCTCTAATCATAAGGACAACCAGATCCATCGAGATATTAAAGCTGTACGGGGCCGGCACTACCATTATGTGAAGTGAGGTGGCTGCTGTAGGTCGCATAAGCTGGGGGTGGAAGTAGTGGGGAAGTGTTGGAGAATAGAACTCAGTGTGCCATACAACCTGCCTTGCACCCCCCACAAATTAGCCTGCTGTCCTCAGGTGTGGCAGAGGAATCCATCCCATCAGCGATATTGAAATTCTAGCACCATCAGCTTCTCTGTATGGAAATGGAGAGTGCCATCTTCTCCTCAGTTGGCAAAATGTCTTGGGGCAACCCTGAAGTTGTAATCTAGGGCTGTAATCAGGCCCAAGGGCTGAATGCAACTCTCCAGGCCTCTGTATCTGGCCCTCAGGCCTCATAGGTCACATTCTTCATTGGCCTTGCTTCACATCACCCCCTAAATTCCTGCCACCATTGGCCAATTTGGTGGCAGAAGGACGATCCAGCCTGCAATAGGCTGGTTCACAGGGGAGGCCTGGGTCCCACCTGCAAAACTACCCACCCAAGGAGGGCAAACGGGCTTGCCTGGCTGGAATGTGTCCCTGAATTCATGTAATGTCTTTTGTGCAGCTGGATGGAGGATGGGTGTGTGTAGAACAGGGATCAGCAAACTTTCTCACAAGGGGGCCGGACCTCAGACCTTGTGGGGGGCCGGACTATATTTTGAAGGGGAAAAAATGAACGAATTCCTATGCCCCACAAATAACCCAGAGATGCATTTTAAATAAAAGGACACATTCTACTCATGTAAAAGCATGCTGATTCCCGGACTGTCTGCAGGCCGGATTTAGAAGGCGATTGGGCTGGATCCAACCCCCAGGCCTTAGTTTGCCTACCCATGGTGTAGAAACTAGGCTATTGTAAAAAGGTAAAATTAAAATTTATTTGCTCTTCCCACTTTTTTTCTGGCTCTACTCTCCCCTGGCATCCACCCCCCCCCAAGCTTTCCCAGAAGGGAACGTCACCCTCAGGCTGAAAAAAAAGGTTCCCCATCACAGTTGTAACCAGTGGGACTGACTTCTGAATAGACATGCATGGGATTGTGCTGTAAATAGCTAAATAGCTTACATGCCCCCCCCCTCACTGTTCTGGTTTGCTGACCAGCACACCAGAATTCAGGAGGCACTGCAGGACTGACTATTGCAGAAGGGTAGATGAATGACATCCAGAAAGCAGAGAAAGGCCTTTGGCAATGGGGAAGTGAGGGCGCTGAGAAACACTGTGATCCTTGGTGTACAAGAACAGTGGTGTTAAAGCACACCAGAGTGCCCCTGTTCCCATCTATGAAACGATAGAAGTCATACGGCCTTCCTTTCTATAGTCGAAAAAGCCCTGCATTTCTGTCAGTGGAGCTGGGGGGTTTGGGGTGGGGGCGGGAAGAGAGGGGAAAGTGGAAATCTGCCAGCTTCCGAGAATGATGGACTATATTTCATAGCAGCCAATTCCAGGGCCTCGAGCTCCTGTTGTGCAAGAAGGTCTCCCAGCTTGCAAAGGGAACCTCAGCCATTTCACAGCATAATTTTAATGATTTATACACCCTGTGCTACTGGTTCTTTGCTTGCTGGCAGGGCCTGGTTTGGGTTAATAAAGGGAATTTCAGGGGGAGTTGTGGGTTGGAGTGGGAGAAAAGGGCCCCCTTGGCACACTGAGCTGTTTTGCTTAATGTGCTGGCTGGCTACCTCCATAAATCAAAAGAACCCAATGCTTTACAACCTTTCAGGAAAAAAAACAAGTATTATTGTTGTTATTGTTATTATTATTTTCTTTCTTTATATAACTCTGATTCACCTAGGAATATTTTCATTGTGATTCTATAAAGAATGAATGAACTGCTGGATGAGATCTATCTCAGCTGTTTTAAGGTTGATTGGCTTTCTTCACACTGGTGCAATGCTTCCATTAGTTTTCGATTTGATGTTCCTGCTTTACGGTGTTGTCGATGGAAATAGGCTGGCATGGTGAGGGTGGGAGGAAAGCAGAGGTGGGGGGGTTATTAGCATAAATAGATGCAGATTGTATTAGGCTGCGACTCCCTTTGCCTTAATGCATAAGCCATGGGGGGGGGATGCGCTGAGAAAATGTACGTTTGCAGTAAACAAAGTAATTGTGTCTTTTAGCTAAGATAAAAATGCCATAACACTCACTGGGGCACCCGTTTTTAGCATAATGCACATGTTAAAATTAGGGTAATGCTTTTTTTATTTGCAAAAAAATCTGTGACAACCCTCTGAATCCCTCGTCTTTTATTAACTATCCCAGGTGTTAATTTCATGAGCCTGAGGGAGGTTTTTCACTGCTGGTGCATCTGATTATCAGTGGTTGTATTACTAATGGCACAAGTCTTACAACTGGGTTTTGGGTGACTCTGGAATCCTCCTGATCTACTCCTCTAGAAAATGTGTGTGCAGTCAGTCAAGAATCAAACACCACTCTTGCCAATGATGGAATTAGGACTGGGTGCTCTCTGACACCTCACCCTACCCCTGCAAAGAGAGAGAGAGAGAGAGAGAGAGAGAGAGAGAAAGAAAGAAAGAAAGAAAGAAAGAAAGAAAGAAAGAAAGGAGGATTTCAAAGAGAGGTTGCATGCTTTCTCTGACTACTTCAGCCTTTTCTCCGAGCAACAAGACAACATGGGCAGGCACCATTTAAAGACTGGAGTCTGTTTTTTTGTGTCTGGAAGCTGCACTGGACTATGAGATGAAACCAAAACTGGCTACAGGTTATCAACTGATTAGGAATACAGAAAGCTGCCTTATACTGGATCAGATCTTTATCAGTATTATTTATGCTGACTGGTAGCATCTCTCTGGGTTTTTGGACAGGGTCTCTACCAGTCCTACCTGGAGATGCTGAGGATTGAACCTGGTACCTTCTGCATGCAAAGCACATTCTCCACCTCTGAGCTACAGCCCTTCCCCACTTGTATTTGGGATGGGCCCAATATGAGTAAGGCTGGTGGGGAAAGTGGCCATGGTGTCACCCTTATGTCAGGATTGAGGATTGAGCCTGGGACCTCCTGCATACAAAGCAAATTATCTACTACTGAGCTGCAGCCCCTTCTGCTACAGAGAAGAAAGGCCTCCCTTCTTACCTTCAGGATGTGGCTGGGGAATTGGGGCACACTAGGATTCCCAAAGGTTATATTTATACAGCTAAGTTAGCTCCTGCCCTTTAGACATCTCCCTATGCTAATTTTAATTTAAGATCTAAATCAGGCTTCCTCAACCTCGGATGTTTTTGGCACACAGCTCCCATGATCCCTAGCTAGCAGGACCAGTGGTCAGGGATGATGGGAATGGTAGTCTAAAAACATCTGGAGGGCCGAGGCTGAGGAAGCCTGATCTAAATAAAAGTGGCCCAGTGAGCCAGTGTGGTGTAGTGGTTAAGAGCAGTGAACTCGTAACCTGGTGAACTGGGTTCGCTTCCCTGCTCCTCCACATGCAGCTGCTGGGTGACCTTGGGCTCGTCACACTTTGAAGTCTCTCAGCCTCACTCACCTCACAGAGTGTTTGTTGTGGGGGAGGAAGGGAAAGTAGATTGTTAGTTGCTTTGAGACTCCTCAGGGTAGTGATAAAGCGGGATATCAAATCCAAACTCTTCTTCTTCTACCCCAGCTTATGTGTCTGCCTCTTTATTTGCCTATCAGGGCGCAAACATGTTAACTATAAATAAATAAGTATACATGTGTCATACCGAAAATTAACCCACAGACATAGAGTAACACACCACAGGATTAGCATAGAAATATTGCATGGTTTTTATTATATGTTGTGAGCTACCTTGGACTATCTTGTAGGAATGTTGGGATAGAAATTTTAGAAATGAAAATAAATATTACATATGGAAGTCCATATTTATTTAGATGCAAATATATATTTCATACATACTTCCTTTTTATATTATTTTTAATATATCACTTTCATTTCCAGGTGATGAGATTACATTGCAAGGAATATGGCAACATCATGTAGCATTTTAAAGCCTTTATTAGACAATGTAGATTGTGTTTGTGTTCACTGGTTTAAACTGCAGAGAAAAGCAGAAATATCCAGATTTTCTATATGGCTTGGAAATTTGATTGCCTTGTATTTTTTATGGAGCTAGCAAATGTGGTGTGCAGCAGCAGTGAGAAGATATATGGTAATGTGAAGAATATATTTGCTTGGGGTGTGGACTCCCCCCTTCACGCTTGGTGATGATAGCTGAATTCAGATAAGAAAATGAAAATTCATGTTTTCATCACAGGACAAACAGTATATATATCACCAGGCAGGTGTCCAGTAAATGAGGCTTTGTGTTAAGATTGTACTTTTCTTCAAACCACATTTGACCTCTCTTATTTGGATGGGGAAATGCCTCATTGTGTTTAATTATGTCTATGATGTGCTGGGCACCAGTCAACATCTGCACCATTGTTCTGTTGGTTGATTGGTTTACATACAGCCTTGATGGGTTATTAACCAATCTACTCCTCAGACAAGAAGACACAGATACAAGCTGATCCCGTATTATGCTATTTTGTAAAGGTGCATTATGCAATCAAAGACCTCTGAATTTTGTACATATCCATTTGTGTGGCTAAACAAATGTTTGCTTTTGGTCTTTTGGGAAAGAGAGGGAGGGAGACAGCATTTGTGAGATTAAGCAAAATGTGCTGTATTCTTAGGCTGCTTTGAAATGGTGCAACATTTTCTGAACATACAATGGAAAGCAGCCAGCATGCAGCAATGAGTGTGTTAGGAATGGACAAAGATGGC